CAGGAAATCCAGACGGCATACTCTAAATTTAAACAGCTATTTCTGATAGGTGAGAAGAGTGTTGAGCAAAACTTTCTGTCAAATGGGGAAAGACATGCCACATGGATCAGCTGCAAGTTGGTACCTTTCCCCTGGGTTCCTTTTGGTGATACACAGATGCTCCTAACCTCGAAGGTCTCTATCATGTAGTGGAAGAGTCAATAGCCAAGGGGCCAGCTGCCACTGCCATGCTGCATGCAGAACATCTCTCTTCAGGCTTTTCTTCCATGGCCTCCCTGTTGTGGCAGTGATCACACAGGCATTCTTCTCCTCTCTTCTTTCCCAGCATACCAGGTTGCTCAGTGGTGAGCATTTTGGCTTCTCTACTTAAATTTCTGGACTATACATTACCTATTAATCACTGATATGCATAAACATTTATAAAGTGAATGATCTGTTTTCCTTAGGGAACTTTTTTCCCAAAGGGGAAATATTTTTAATATTTCTTTCCTGATTAGGCATGTACAGTTTCTTAGGATGAAAATTAATTTCAATACAATTAATCAGAAATGTACACCCTTGGCAATTTCCCTACTCTCATAGTCTGCTAGTAACAATTAGAACTAGTCTCATTTCTCTCCATTCTTGAATGAGTCTTTACTCTCTGAGGTGTGCTTGCTTAAAGGTAACTTTTCCTAACTTGGACTTTTTAACCTGACAAATGGTTAACTATTTTAGGATTTACTCAGCTGTCATTTATTGAATTTCCATTGTATATACTAACTTCGCTAGGCATTTACCCAAGGCGAATGTACCACAAAAGCTCATACTCTTACAGGGGAAACAGAAGTATATGCCTCTAACTAAAACATGTTGTGATACATGTTATAAAACAGATTGTAAKAAGTAGAGATCTGGAGGCAAGGTCCTATTTGATCCAGGACTGAGATTCTACAGTTTTATTTTAATTACCCAGGATTTCCAGAATATCTTCTCTTTACTGATTTGAGCTTGCAACTTTTAAATGTATTAAATTTATTTAAAATGTATTAAAATTCAAGATTTTCTGCTTTATAAGATGTGTAAGGGGGAATCCTACAGTGGTGTGCWAGGTACATGAACTTGTATTTAAATTTCTTAGAAAAGTCAAGTCTCACCTTAGATGTCCATGGCAGGATACATCTGGTTGCATTTTCCACTTCTAGGAATAGCAGCCTCCATGTCACTTGTTTCTGTCTAAAGCATGTCAGTCTCTCAGTTGAATTATAGGGTAGACCATGGCTTTGAGTATGTGATAGAGGCTTTTCTTATTTCAGCAAGGAAGACCTCTTCTTGACAACCACACCCTTCTTGAGGCCTACATTTCATAAACTGTTTCAGCTGAAGTTCTGAAATGTTCTTTACTTAAAATAGAGTCTCGTGCCTGGATTCTGCAGGTTAAGTCTAGGACCAATGATCTGAACAGCACAGTGGAATAACAGGTGTTTTGTGGCAAGTGTAATATCTTTCTGCTTTTCCTTTTTTCAGATAACAGTACTGAATTTTGGGACACAGACATAAAATGGTTTTCGCTCTTGGAAAATAGCAGCTGGCTTGACATAATCAGGTATTCCAAACCATTGTTTTGCTCATGAATTTCAGTTGTCTAATTCAGAGTAGTAGAGCTAATTGACAAATAATTTAACTCTTTGATATTTCACAATTAAATATTCTTAGACCATATGTTCTATTCAGGGCTTGGCTGGATTTTACATTTTATATTTATTATATAAATTACATTTGACAGAACTTACCAACATGTTACCTGCTTACAAAGAAATATACTCTATAGAAAGACTACAATGAAGGGTGTGATGATGCAAAATTATAATTGAGACTACAGTGCTGCCCTCCAGGAGGAAACCRGGGAATGAAAATAGGAGGGATACTGACTTCACTAAATACTTTTTTGAATTTTGTGTCATATGTATATGACCCACTTAAATTTTTTTTTAAACCATGGTTAATGTCATTTAGTCATTTTTGGTTTTGGAATTAGGTTAAGAGTCCCAGAGGATGGTTATGTTGCCTTTCCTAATTCATATATTAAATGGCTCCTTAGCTAGAAGTTAGGGACAAATCAAAGCTACAAGCTGTGGCTACAGTCCTAAAGGGAATAAAGGATAGAAAGAGATAAATCTTTCTGGGACTGGGGTTATGGCTCAGCTCAGCGAGAGAGCGCTTGCCTCACATGTACAAGGACCTGGGTCTGATTCTCAGTACCACATAAAAATAAAAAAAAAAAGTTATTGTGTACAACTACAAAAAAAAATCTTTCTGAGTAGATTGGATCTTTTCAGACACTCTCATACATTCACCTTGAATAAAGCAATATAGATCATATTCTCCAGGAATTGATGTTTGTGGGTTTTACTAGGACTCACCAGAAGACTCAGATGTAAGTTTTCAGTTAGAATCTATAGTTTAGAAATTGCCTAGGAGCACTTTTATGTTAGCTTGGGTTTCCCTTCTGAAAAAAATTTCMATTTCTTTATTAAATATTTCTGAATTAAATATTCTTTATTAACTATTCTGAATTAAATATTTAAGTATTTAATTGATAAAGATTGTATGTATCAAAATACTCAGTGTTTTTTTAAAAGACACACTGTGTGATGGTTTGGCATATATTGTGTGATGATTACCATAATCAAATGAACACATCCATCACCAATCATGCTGTACTTTAGGTCCCCCAGGTTTGTTTATCTTATAACTGAAAGTCTGATTCCTTTGACTTCTCTCCACTTTTTCCACTCACATCCCTTTGGAGGATTCTACTCTGTATAAGAGTTCAGCTTTTTTTTTTTTTAAATCTATTTATTTTATTCATTTTAGTTGTTGATGGACCTTTAGTTTTTATTTATATGTGGTGTTGAGAATTGAACCCAGTGCCCCACACATTCGAGGCAAGCGCTCTACCACTGAGCCACAACCCCAGYTCGAGTTCAGCATTTTTACATTTCATGTACAACCAAGGTCATGCTGTGTGGTTTTTATGTACCTGGCTTATTTCATTTAACATATTTCCTCCAGGTTCATCCATGGTATGACAATGGTGGAATTTCCCCTTTTTAAAGTACTGAATAATATTCCATTACACACACACACACAGCACTGTACTTATCCATTCATTTGTTAGTGAACTCTTAGGTTGTTTACATATCTTGATTATTGTGAATAATGCAGCAGTGAACATGAGAGCACAGATACCTGAGAAACTGGTCTAATCCCTTTGGATATACACCCAGCCTCAGTTTCTAATAGGCAGATAAACATCTCTCAGTATCTGAATAGTGTAAATGTTAAGTATTTTTTTTTAATTTTTATTTTCATGAATAAAACTGTGGCTCAAGTGGTAGCGTGCTCACCTGGCATGCGTGAGGCACTGAGTTCTATCCTCAGCACCACATAAAATAAAATAAAGATATTGTGTCCATCTAAAACTAAAAAAAAAAAAAATATTAAAAAAAAAAGAAAGGAAAAACTGAAGAGGGCTGGGGTTGTGGCTCAGCGATAGAGTGCTCACCTAGCATGTGCGAGGCGCTGGGTTCTATCCTCAGCACCATGTAAAAATACRTAAATAAAATAAAGGTATTGTGTTAAAAAAAAGAAAAACTGAAGAACAATTCATGCTATCTCTAAACTTATTGTTCATGGTACCAAACTCAAGACCTAATGCCCATTTCTTGTCTCTTTCCTATTCAGACGTTGCCTGAAAAAAGCAATAGAGATCATAGAATGTATGGAAGCACAAAACATGAACGTTCTTCTTTTAGGTAACATATTTAAAGCACAAAAATCATTTTCCATTTTATCTCACTTGTGATTCAATTTTCTGTGTATGTAACTTAACAGGATTGTAATTGTCTTATGAGAGAGTAAGCTACTGTAAAAATCCTCCCAGTGTCTTTCTCCTGAACCTTGGAATCCTTTGCCTCAGATTTCAGAGTTAGAGTTTAAAATAAAATTCTTTCACTTGGAACTTGGCAGATCTATTCACAACCCAAGAAGAAATTATTTGATATCTTTACCAAAGCTCACATTTCTTAATGTTTTGGATTTGGTTTTTTTATTAACTAGGTTGAAGTCACAGTCTTTTAGTAATCCCTTTCACATAGACTCATAGATGATTTAATTATTATTTTTGTATCCGTTTGACACTTTTTTTAAAAATTTCATTTTTTAGTTTGTGGTTGGACACAACATCTTTATTTCACCTATTTATTTTTTTAATGTGGTGCTGAGAATCGAACCCAGGGTCTCGCACGTGTGAGGCAAGCTCTCTACCCCTGAGCCACAACCCCAGTCCCCCATTTGATACAGTYCCCCGTTTGACACTTTCCATAGAAAGTTGGTGAGCTGTGATTTCCCTTTTCTCAGTGGATTTAATTTGGCAAACATGAAGGCCGTGACATAAACATTCAGAATGTGTAAAAGCAAGTATAAACCATTGTGTAACAAGGATGATTGCTKTAGCCAAGCCCAGTGGTACACACCTGTAATCCCAGCAACACAGGAGCCTGAAGCAAGAAAATTGCAAGTTTGAGACGAGCTTGAGTAACTTATTGAGATCCTGTTTCAAACTAAAAGACCTTTTTAAAATTTTATTTTAGGAGACAATGTCTTTGTATGTTGTTCAGGCTGGCCTCAAACTCCTTAGCTCATTGATCCTCTAGCTGCAACCTCCAGAGAGGCTGGAACTACACAACTGTGTCCAGCTTTTTTTTTTTTTTTTAATATATGTATTGTTTTTTGTTTTTTTTTTTTTTAGTTGTAGATGGACACAATACCTTTATTTGATTGATTTATTTTTGTCGTGMTGAGGATCGAATCCAATGCTAGACAAGTGCTATATCACTGAGCTACAACCCCAGACCCCAGCCTGGTTTTTATAATATTTTGTTTCTTCTAGTCCTATACTACATGTGAAATTTTTTCTCATGCTTTTATAAATCCAAGCTTTTATCATTTTTTCTGATGCTTTCCTTGACTGTTGGGACTTAGTTTCTAAGAGCAATCTAGAAAATGTATCTTCTGGATGGCTTCTGGAACAGCTGATACTAGCTTACTAACTTGGAGTTGAGCATCTACAATGTGCAGATTCTGTGCTTCTACCTTAGTATTTATAAGGACCTGAAAAAGAACATTATTTGAGTACCAAATAACTGGTAAAAGGAGGAAGATTGGAAGTCTGAGAAATGTAGGACTCAAGGCCAGACTGCAATAATCAGAATCCCATGAAATGAAATCTGAATCTTTGGCTAATGGAAGTGAGATRTCCTCCACTCTTGATGGACTTCTGAGTTGTCTCCTCTGAAGTCTCATTGTCTAGTTCTTCTTCCCATCTCTCAGAAGGATATAATTATCTTTCAAATGCAAGAAGAAAGATTCCCTTAAAAATGAAACCTGTAGGGTTGGTGATGTAGCTCAGTGATAACATGCTTGCCTGGCATGTATAAGGYCCTGCTTTCAACCCCCAGCACTACTAAAGAAAAATGAAACTTGTTTTAAATTAAAACACCACTAGAAGATAAGCACAAAAATCTGTTTTCATTGAAGTCATGTCTTCCTGTAGTTTAGGTTTGTTTCCTAGAAGAGACCAGTGTAAGCCAAGACCTGTGGTACTTCATGATTTGGGGGGTCAGGATGAAAAAGTGCTAGGAGTAGGAGTAACTTCCTAGTTGAAGTTCATCCTTAGTTAAGTCGGGCACAGTGCTATATACATCTGCAATTCCAGACTAAGGCAAGAGGTTGCAAGTGTCAGGCAAAGCTCTAACTTAGCAAGACCCTGTCTCAAAATTTTTAAAAAAACCATGGGGGCGGGGTGGGCGCTGAGGCTGTAACTCAGTGGTAAATCTCTTGCTTAGCACGTGTGAGTCTCTTGGTTCAATCCCCAGTACTACCCCYCMAAAATAATAAATTTATCCTTGTTTCTTTAATCATACACACACCATTCTGCTCATGGACATTTTTGAGAGCTTGTTTGGAGGTTCTAGCAGGGAAGTACAGCTACTCATACACCCTTGACCAAAAAGGAAGGTTTTCTTCTTCCACAGAGCATGCAGCTTCAGGAGAAGTGTACATAGAGGGGTGAGGGAGGAAGAGGACACCAGTCTAGCCAGCCAGATCAACCCTGGTGAWCAGTGGGGTGACAGATGTCACAGCCATATTGCCCTCACATCCCCTTACAGACATTTTTAAAAAGCAGGTTGAACTGGGTGCAATGATATGTGCGTGTAATCCCAGCAGCTTGGRAGACTGAGACAGGAAGATCATGAGTTCAAAGCCAGCCTCAGCAAAAGCAAGGTGCTGAGCAACTCAGTGAGATCCTGTCTCTAAATAAAATACAAAATAGGGCTGGGGATGTCGCTCAGTGGTTGAGTGCCTCTGATTTCAATCCCTGGTACTAAAAAATCCTTTAAGACAAATATAAGGCTATAGATGCATGATTTTATTTGCTCTGAATCATGAATTTTAAACAGGTATATAAATGGACTTTTCAGTCATTTGAGTTTTGTAAAGGGAATTCCAAGTGAGCACACGGAGGTGGACCAAGCAGAATTTCTCCTGTAGACCACTCCTCAAACAGAAAAGAAAAGAGCCTTGAGGCAGAAAATAAGATCATTTTGGTACAGTCCAGAAAGTTTGAACTTCCTGCAAAGTTGAATTAGAGGAGGAATAAGAAGTAGAGGAAAGGAGCTCTAAGGTGAGTCTGAGAAATAGCAAGCCYTGGGACAGTGAGCTCAGTGATTGAGGGTTTGCCCCACCAGGAGAGAAGGAATTCAGACTCAGTTTGTGCCTGGCAGGTTGTCATCATGTGGATGATTCCGCTCTGGTTATGTGGTATATCATATTCAGTAAGCAAATCCATATTTAGCACCAGTGTGTGCTAGAACCTGTACTAGACAAGCTGGAAGCATTTTGTCTCTTGGTCTGAAAATATCAAGCTTTTTTTTTTTTTTTTTTCCATTACCTGTTTTTCCTGGAGGGAGTAAGAACTTGAGTGCTAATAGCAGATTTTGGTATTGGGAACCCTGCTTTTAACTGTGTGGTGAGAGCATTCCAGCTTTTAACACTCCATGCCCTCCTTCCTCTTGGCACTGCTGCTGGGCCCCTCCTAGAGGAAAATGCCTCCGACTTCTGCTGCCTCCTTTCCTCTCTGGTGCAAGTGATGATGGACCCCCACTGCCGAACCAAGATTGGTTTCCAGAGCCTCATCCAAAAGGAGTGGGTCATGGGTGGCCACTGTTTCTTGGATCGCTGCAACCATCTCCGCCAGAGTGACAAAGAGGAGGTGAGTTCCCTCACTGAAGACTGTTTCAGGCACAGGGAGAACTCCCCAGTCTCTCACCAATACTGCTTAAAAAGTACCTGCTACACACAATTCTGCTTAAAAAGTACCTGCTACACACAATTCTGCTTAAAAAGTACCTGCTACACACAGTCAGTAGGAAAACTGAATCAGATTATCATGTGTAACTTTAAATGCTTTAAACAATATCGAAGCCCTTCCCAAAGGAAAAGATATAGACAAGCATGTTCAGAGTCTTCTCTTCTACCTTGTGTATAGCAAGAATGTAATACATTTTATAGTAGGAGTAATATTGATTTTTTTTTTAGGAGGGGGTGCCAGGGATTGAACTCAGGGACACTTGGCCACTGAGTCACATCCCCAGTGCTATTTTATATTTTAATTAGACACATGGTCTCACTGAGTTGCTTAGTGCCTCACTTTTGCTGAGGCTGGCTTTGAATTCACCATCCTGCTGCCTCAGCCTCCCAAGCCACTGGGATTATAGAMGTGCACCACCACACCCRGCTTACATATATAATAACCCAGGGAGAGATTCTCCTACAAATTTTGCCAAGTTAATCTTTGCGATAAGTAGATATTCGTTGTGCAGATTTCCTACAGGAAATACATGATAACAAGGTAAATTTCCCTACCACATAAACTTCTTCCAAGGAAAGTACAGGTTTGAGTTAATGCTGTCTGATTGCCAGGGCCTTGGCAGGCTRTACTGCAGCCTCTTCTGCTTGTGTCTAGGTGAATGGCCTCAGACCTGTACCAGGAAAGTTAGTGTTTTAATTCACCCCCAAATTAAGGTTGACTTGTCTAAGCAACAGCCATACAGACTCTCCTGGCTGCTTCATTGGTGATGGGTAGAAGGAAGAATGGAAATGGACCCACTGTCTTTCATAAGTCACTGTAGAGCTAACATGTACTGGTATTGTGACTTGTGGTTTTTCTTACTCCTGATATACAGCATGTCTGTCTGTGGTGCAGAGCAGTTTGACACAGCATGCTGCGGGAATAGAGAGCCATGGTTTCTGCCATGCAGAGCTGGGTGGGTTTCTGAGGAAACCAAGGCCTCTGTTACTAGCTAGGCCAGGCAGTTTCTTTCAGGCCCAGTCTGTATGCCTCTGTGTAATACTGATCTGACTAGAAGCCACCATCTTTTAGTCTTAGAAGGAACTTTGGGGAAATAATATGAAAGGTTGATGGTACTCATGAAGCAGGATAGAACTAGTATTATCTGAATAAAAATATGATTTTGTATATCTTGAGAAAAGGGATAGTGACTGGCACCCTATTTAGTGGGGAAAGAGCCAAGAGAAGACCTAATCTACTGTTCATTCAGCCTTTGGAGAGTCACTCACAATTTATGAGCCCATTTCCCTGACTATACAGTGAGATTTATATATTTTTCATTCTGTTTAGTGATATTGTGCTTAAAATGAAGTGTGAACTAAAGTTTCTGAAAAGGGGTTCTTAGCACCTCAGCGTCAATAAATCAGAGTTTCAAGGAGAATCAGGTGGTCTAATTTGTGATATAACTGAAGTAGATATAGCCTTTGAAACAATAGTTTGAATTCCTAACTCCTCTTTCTTGCCAGCTCCATTTGAGACCTTGACCAGCCTCTCATCACCACTAATCTTCCAGAAGGGAGAGACTGTCACATAGCTTGTCTTATGCAGCCTGCAGAATCATTGGTGAATCAAGAATAGCATTTGTAAATATAAAGCACCTTAGAAACTACTGTCCCTACTAAATAAAGGGCTCACTTCTGARTGGCTAGTAAAGGAAGCCTATAAATTTTTTAAGAAAAACATTTGTGAAAAAATGCTAGGAACTCATTCTTGCTGCCTTCTCTCCTATCCCTTTTGTCTTCTGGGCCCTCATCATGGGATATGGAGAAGGAAGGCTTCTCATTCCAGCCTCTTCACACCAACCCTATTAGTTGGTGTGTGGGTGGGTAATGGTAGTGGTAGTCCCCCCCACACACAAACACACAACTTTTTATTGACAAAATTTAAAATAACAATCACTGAGTACAGATTTTTGCATTGAACAGTTATTGGACTAGGACAAGGAATTCTTTGGGGGGAAGGCAACATTTCACTTAMTTGGAGTTTAAAGTTGCTATTTTGTGTCATCAGAATTAATTGCAAATGTTCATCTGGTGATGCTGATCCATATTTCATCTTTGAAGTGTCTGACACAGATGGGTACTGCCAAATACCATTATTAGTTGAAAGCATGTGGTTTCAGTTGAGCATGTTTATTTTTTGGAATGAAATGGAGCATACTATGTTTCCCAGAGAATATAGGACTCAGAAGTGGTTACTTCAAAGTTGCTGAAATGGCTATACAGTGAGCTCCTTACAGCTCATATTGAGCTCTGTGCCTTCTAAGTAACCTGTATCTTGTTTTCATGTAGGTTCCTGTGTTCCTGCTTTTCTTAGATTGTGTCTGGCAGCTGGTGCACCAGCATTCCCCAGCATTTGAATTCACAGAGACTTACCTGACGGTGTTGTCAGATAGCCTSTACATACCTATTTTTAGCACCTTCTTCTTCAATTCACCTCATCAAAAAGATACTAACATGGTAAGAGTCCCTCTAAGAAACCTGTATATTAAAGAAGCTGCATCTCACAAATAGGATACAATAACATTGATACTAAAAAATAATATTTCTTTTAACATTGACTGTGTGCCAGGCATTGTTCTAAGTACTTTCCAGGTACTCACAATTGGAAAGGATTTAATCTTTACAGTACCCTCTGGGTTACATATTATTATCCCTGAGGAAGCTGAGGCACACAAAGAATAAGCAACTAGCCCAAGGTCACATCGTAAATATTTGAAGCTAGTGTTTGAGCAGAGGTTAAGCCAAATTAAAAGCTCTTCTTTTTCCAGACAGACCAGGTGCTTTCTCTTCCCTCCTCTTCATGCCTGGAGTTCCTAGGAGAACAGATACTGAACACTGCAAAACAGGAAAGCCAGCCTGACTTTGCTTCTTAAAGCCCTTGAGTCACTCTTGAAGCTGTGCTAAACAAATCAGTTGCCTCCAGGCAGCCTTCTGGCCTCAGGGTTTGTTTGAGATTGTAGTGCTATCAAATCCCATAGTGAAGTGGGAGTAATCAAATCTGAGTTTCTTGGGACTCACTATCTTTGTGATCTCAGGTAGTTTACTTCAGTTTTCTGAGCCTCAGTTTCCTCAAATAAAAAAATTAGAAAAATAATAGCTACCTTACAAGGATGTTGGTAAAGTGTCCAGCCCAGAGGGATATGTGGTCCCTCCTAAAGAAGTGTGCTCTGCACCTTCCTCCCCCACCTAGAGCTTTTAGTGAGTAAGCACTGATAGCCTGGGCTGTGGAAAATGAAGTGCCCTGAACATTCAGCCTCGGAGCAGGGTGGAGCCCCCTTCCTGGTGCCTGTTTCTGAGAATGCATGTTTTCTTTCCTCAGTCCTCCCTGGAAGCCATGGTGACCTGTGCTTGTTTTGGCAGGGTAGAGAAAGCCCAGATACACAAAGCAAGCCTTTGAATCTGCTCACCGTGTGGGATTGGTCTGTACAGTTTGAACCCAAAGCCCAGATGTTGCTCAAAAACCCTCTYTATGTGGAAAAGTCAAAACTGGACAAAGGCCAACGGAAAGGAATGCGTTTTAAAGTAAGATGTTCACATCTAAATCCCCTTCATTTCCCTGTATGTAAGGGTAAAGGATCAAGATGTGTGGTGGGCAAGTCCTTAGRGCCCACTACGTGAATCCTTTGCTTTAGCAGGTAGTCTTTGGCCTGATGAGAAGTGGCTGTTTGCTGCAGGCCACTGAGGATGCTATTCCCTTAGTCATGCTGTGTGGAATCATGCCTCTTACCCCACATCTGTGGTAGCTAGTAAGGTAAAAGGAACATTGATTGTATAGCGTAAGTCATGCATTACATGGTAATGAGCTGTAGCKGTAAACCAGGAGCTGGCTACGTTTTTTGTCAAGGGCTATATGGTTTCTGTTGCAACTACCCTCTGCTGTCATGGTACTAAAGTGGCCCTGGACAGTACACAAACCAATGGGCCTTGCTGTGTTGCAGTATTTATGAAAATAGGTGCCACACTAGATTTTGCCCAACCACAATGTCAAAGCTTTAGTTTCCTTTCAGTTATTCATTCCTGATTTTATTTTACTCAAAAATTCCTCCACTGGTAAATTATTTAAATGGTACTTTGTCTCAAGGGGGCAAAATTGCGACGTATGTAGTCRAGGGGAGAAATAAAGAATGTCCACATGCTTTTGCCCCTTTCAATGCTTTATTCACTCAAATTACTCAATACAATTCCACTCTATAGGTTCTTAATCAAGAAAATGACAATTCTTAATGCTAGGCACTGCAATAGGACACTGCAAACAATTCTTAGCACTGCAAACATACTTAATCATGACAGGCTAATGACAGACATTCCCTCTGCATGCTAAGTTCAAAAGTCTCAAGCCTTAGGCTTTACGTCCAGCAGATGCACACTTACTCAGACCACGTTGATCAGGTCCAGAACCAAGGTAGGCTTTTCCAGGTGTGGAGTGGATGACCGGTTGAGGAAAGGGTTGTATGGAGAAGTTGCAGCTCTCACCAGGGTCCAGATGAGGCAGTAGAGTTTGAGAGCAGTGTGGATCACGCAGAGGATCAGGAAACKWTGACAAGTGATGGGATGTCAGTCCAGGTTCTCATCAGGCTCTCCAGCTCTAGTGCATCCTTGTTTCAGCTGGCTGAATCCCTATTCTTTAGCTCCATTATTTATACTAAATTTTGGGGCTTTGACACACCCCCCCCTTTCAATCCTTATCAGCTACCACTACATAATTTATCCTGGGGTCAGAAACATCTGGTCTGGTGGTATCCACCCTGATCTTCTCACCTTTYTCTCTTATCAGGCAAGGACAGCCTGCCGGAGGCTTCACTCTGTTTATCAGGGTGAGGGGAAATAACTTGTCTGAGGCCATACTGGAGGAAGCTGTTGGATGTGCCTAATGAGACTGGAGTTTCAAACTGGAGTTTTTAAAATGGAGTTGCTTAGGCTCAGGCCTTAGGCCATCCTCACACACTTCCAACTCTGGCCTGGAATCTCTTGCCAGTAGAGCCATAGAGGAGATGGATAGCAGTAATGATAAATCCAAGTTGTTGTGACCATCCTTCCAGTCCTGCCTGATCATGAGAGATTCCAGGAAGCCTACAGTTCAGTTGGTTCTGTTCTTAAGACATGAACCAAAGCCAGCACTCAGAGAAAGTGTCTTCTGCTGTGCAGTTTAGAACTACCACTTGACCCTCTTAGTTGTCCTCAGGCCCTAGATGATTGCTTCCCTTTTCTGATTCAACCAYTTTTCTGTTAGTTTGACCAAAATTGCTACAAACCCAGGAACAAGATGGCTATAAAAATCATCTTTCCTTCAGTGTGTTGTGCCCCCTGGTGGTTACCTGCATGCTTCTCGTGAGAGCTGGGCTGGGATGGTAGAACTGCTGAATGCCCTTGGAGCAAGGATCCTCAGAAACACCATCTTTTTTTGTGGGGGAAAGGGGCACTTGGGATTGTACCACTACTGAGCCACATCCCCAGCCCTATTTTGTATTTTATTTAGAGACAGGGTCTCACTGAGTTGCTTAGCACTTCGCTTTTTCTGAGACTATCTGAACTTGCAACCCTCCTGTCTCAATCTCCTGAGCTACTGGGGTTACAGGAGTGCACCACTGCACCTGGCCTACAGCTCTTTCTAAGAATGGATTTAATTTCTCTCCTCAGACCCAGTTTTTCTAAGTGTCCCTCACCTMCAAGAGAGGTTGGTGGAGAGATTGGTGCTGAAGGGCTAGACGTTTTATTAGATTAAAGCAGAGTTGGGGCTGGGCAACAGGAACCTTGGGACCTTGGGACCTTGGCCTCAGAGAAGTTCCATAGTAACTGTATGTAAGGGTAAAGGATCAAGCACTGCTCTGTGAATTGCCTCATGAGGGGCAGGATTCACTCAGGCAGGTAGTCTTAGCTTCACTCCARTATTTAGCCAGGCTTTGGACATGTGGTACTCCTCCCCCTTAGGCACATCTTGAATGTGCCATTCACTGAGGAGGCTGAGAGAAGAGGGCTTCCAAGACCAAGTAAGTTCAGTTAAGAACGCAGACTCTGGAGCCAAGCTTGTTTAAAACTACGGTGGGTTGGTGCTTTGGACAGATTACTTTTATAAAATGGGGCAATAATAGTGACTTTGAGAATTGGGTAAGTGAGTGCATATAACAGTGAGCACAGAATTGAGCAGGCGGTAAGTGCTCAGTAACAGGTTTCCTCCACATTCCYCAACTCCCTTTCCTGCCTCACTCACCTTGATGACTATGGAGAAAGACTCCTGGCCTTCATCAGTCCTAGCTCCAGATGCAGAGTCAAAAATCGTGGTCATTTCTGATCTGGTCAGTTGTGGATTGTGGATAATTTTGTTTTCTTCTTTATATTTTTACTGTTATTTCATAATCTATCATAAGGAAATTTTTGCTCCATGATCATTTTTTTTTTACAAGGAAGACCCACTGGCAAAAATATGTTAGATTATAAAGCTAGGATGAAAGTAAATTTTTTATTTATTCTTAATTTAAATGAACATGTTAGAAACAAAAGAGACAGGGGAAAAAAAACAAAACAAAACAGCTTTTCCTGACAGTTTTTACCTTCTCCCTTGGGCACTGAGGAGTTCCTGGAACCTTCTGATCACTTCAGCCATCYTTATTACCTCTTAGAGCATACCCCAAAAAATAACGCCTTGCTTTGGCTGTAGAGAGAATTATCAAGGAGGAAAAACATTTAAATGCTCTCATATTTTCTACTCTATATAGATGTCAGACAAGAACAACTGGCCAACTTAGTCAGTTCCTCTTAGCAAAATTCCTTTGCTTCCGTCTGCCTGTTTTCTGTGTTCAAAAGAATCCTTATGATTTGAGGCTTGAATTCTAGCCAAATGCCTGATAAACTACCAAGTTGCTGCAGCCACATGMTAGAATCTTCAGGTTGTCAGTGCTGCTTCCTTGGAGATGTTCAGAATATAGTAGCAGTTAACAGTCCCGATATCCTCAAAGAAGAAACATTTTGTTTCCCTTTAAAGAATGATTAGTCTTCATCCCTAAACTCTCCTAAATCATTAACCTATCTTAAACYCATTCCTTAAAAGTACTTTGTGTCCTTTGGTACCCCTATTCCAGGGGGTGGGGGATGGAAAGCACCACTTGCTGTMCCAGCATGCTTTCTGCATTGCTGCCATATGCACCTTTATAATAAGAGAGTACAGTGTGCGTCTGATGTTTGCATCATGAGAATAAATAAGAACCCACTCTTTCTTTCTATATGTTACCGAATTTTAATGAGTATGCGTTCACATGACAGTTCTGATATCTCTTGATATTYGTTAAAGCAGAGCTGTGCCTTTTTTTTTATAACAGTAACTATAACCTTACCTCTTTTGTTAACCAGAGATTTTTATTTATTTTCTCTCAAAGCACCAACGACAACTTTCTTTRCCACTCACCCAATCRAAGTCATCTCCCAAAAGAGGATTTTTCAGGGAAGAGACAGATCATTTAATTAAAAACCTTCTGGGCAAGAGAATTAGTAAACTTATTAATTCTTCTGATGAGCTGCAAGACAACTTTCGAGAGTTTTATGACAGCTGGCATAGCAAGCCTACTGACTA